TAATGTTAAAAATAAAATCCTAATATAACGGGACTATTCCACTATTCCCCGTTGACGGGGATTGTCAACGGGGAATAGTGGAATAAGCCCACAAAACTTCAAATATTTCTATTGTTGACTTTCGTCCAATTCTGTAAACAATAGATTATCTTCAGCTTCAGAGGCAAAAAATTGTATTGGCCTTAGTCATTCGTGTTTTAGACATGTCCCTAGTGAATGCATGGATAATTATTTATTATTTACAACGAGGTAAATAAAGATGAGACATTGAAATCTAGAAATATTTCGAGCGTAGGGTTTTTTCTTGGATAAAAAAATCGGGAGGCAAAGCAAGCAAACCTGCACCAGGTACATATGAACGCCTTTTACAACCTGTAAGGTTTAAAAATATGATCAATATTGATGACTATATGACGAAGAGGGACAAATAGAGGCATTGCCAGGGAGAAGATTGTAAAAAAAACTCTTATTTTTTGCGCTAAATGTGAAAAAAATACTCTGCGGTGATTGTTTTATACTTTACCATACAAAATAAGTTCCTAAAACTTCATGTTTAAAGCTGTTTACGGAAAAATTTTCAAATACTGCTAATTTTCTTATAATTGTTATCTTTTATTATTTCTGATCACATGTCCCCACTGTCATATTTATAGGACAGGCTGACTCAGCATTAAAGGTACTATTTTTTTTATTTTTTTGTTTTTATAATTTTTTCTTAGCCTATTATGAACTTAGTTTCAAGATTTGATCAAAAAATTCCAAAGATTTCGATGCTTGGGAAGTAATGGGTTAATACGCTCACAAAATCTCTTTTAAGCTTCCTATTTCTATGATGAGTCATACTTATGATACACGTATCTCTGTAGAATGTAATGTTTTTCCTATTGTTTTTTAGTACGCTGGGCGCGAAGTTCAGGTCACGATCTGTAATTACAATACTCGTAATTGTGATCCATCCATCCTCAAAACATACAACACGATGCTCTGTCAGAATCCATTACCGCTATTATACACCGCGGTCTACTCTACAGTTCTTTTTTACAAACATCTCTTCAACCATCTCTTTCAATCAATCCAAGGTGCTGGCATGTGTGAGAAAGAAAGGTAGAGTCGATGTACTAATGGTTTGCAAGGTAGACCTGCTAAATTGCAAAAACTTCGATGTGCAGTGTAAATATAGCAACAGAAAGCGTTATAAAAAGGTTAAATCGGCACGCAGTCATTAAAGCCTTTATTGCAAAGCTTTACACGTATTCAATAACTAGTTTTGCTATTATGGATTTAATATGATAGCAAATAAGCACTATGTAGGAACTTTTTCTAGTAGCTCTTCTTACAGGGTTGAATTTTAAAGTCAAAGCTTTTCTTTGGGAATTTTCCAAAGCTGCCATGCCCAAGAAAGTGGTTTTTATTTAATGTCACTGATCGAGCCGTAACTTAACTGAATGTCATTGGTTGACCGACTGACGTTATTTTACTTAAAAATTACATCAATTGCCTAACAATCAATCCTTTAGAAATTTTCCAAGCCATCCCAAGAAAACGGTTTTCATGTTTTAGTCGTAGTCTGACTTAAAACTATTGTTGACTGATTGTAGTTTCTTTTTCATTCACTTACTTTAACAATTACAAATACCTAACAATCGTGCATTCCCGTTAGGCATGATGCATTGGTTTTGGAGGTAACATGCCAATTACCAAGCACCAGATCTGTACTAATACAGCCACAGACAAAACTCAGGTCCGTGACCTAAGCAAAGTGGGATTACGACTTTCGATCGTTGTGACCGTGAATGTATTCAATACAACACACGAAAACCGATACAAAAGAGTTTGAAATAGGTTTGAAAAGAGGTGTCTTCATACTAATTACGTAGAAATTTATTGACATTTTATTATTAAAATTAATTAACTACATAAGTTATTAAAATGTAGAGATGTATTGTTGTAAGTGTTCTGTACACTATAATACATAAGTAAATTGGGTCGAGCTGTTAATCACTATGAACATGTATGAAAATGCGCACATTACACCGACCGATTCTTGATACAAATTAAAATGGAGTCCAACTATCAGCCGACTAAAAGCCTGAAGTCTGCGGTGAGTCTAACGCTACATACATAATTACGGATTACAGTACATCGACTTAAACATTTATTTATTTATTTATTTAAGGACAGCTAACAAGACATACACAATTAACAGGAAAAAAAAACATTGAAAACAATACATGTTTATAGTGTAGCCTTAATTAAAAGCTGCCACGACATGTGCATAGATTGCGTGGAAGCGTAGTATCGACTAAATTAAAATAAAAAAAATAATATATAAGAATTCAATTCAAGCCAGGAATCATTGTGGAACCTTATTTGCCAGTAACAGGGGTGATCTTGTAGCAAGAATGTAGAGTCTGATTATTATCTTTTGCACTCAAGTCGATGTCGCAAACACTGAGTAAACATATTTTCTTCCCATAAGTATGTAACTTAAGACTTCCGATTTTATACAAGGTTTTGGGAGCAACTTGGCATTTACAAAGTAACCTAATTTGCCCATTTTCCTGAAAGACAACAAAAAAAATTGCGGAAATTTCACCTAAATAAAAACCTCTTAGTGTTCATTTAAAATCTTATCTACCATTTACGCTCTTTACTTATGTAAAAACCATATTTTATAAGCAGAAAAATGTACGCACGGTGTGTAATGCGTTATTAATTGGCTTGGTTTCACCTTTTTGAAGTTTTTCACCTTTTAGTGTTTACTATTTAAGATCTTGTCTAGCTCATAAGAGCTTAAGCTCTTTATGTAAAAACCAATTTTCAGCAAAAAAATGTACGCACAGTGTGTAATGCGTTGTTAATTGGCTTGATTGATGGTGTCTTAATTGTCTGAGGTGCATATTTACACTATCGTTAAGTTCACTAACTACGTGTACATGATCACGCGTTTTTATTTACTTTAGTAAATAGCTTCTTATTAATTGATTCACGACAGCTTCCTGTATTTAGTCATAATTAGGCTGATAGGAGCTTGTTTTTGTTTTGGATAAAAATATAATTGGTTTTAATAATTGATGGTGTACGGTTTTTTTCAGTATACCTACTTAGATCCCTTTCTGCCTGAAAAATGCTACTCGCATCTTTTAATAGTATTGATCACTGAATGAATACTCTTTATAAACTTAATCATGGATAAGTTTACAAAATGAGACGTAAAATACTAATAGGTGTGTAGACAGCTACAGGTATGTAGATACATGATCGTATCACTATGGTAGGTCTTTAAAGTAAGAAATTAAGTATTAACTTGGGCCGGATTTTTCAACCGTGAATATCATTTTTACAGTGTAATAAGTAGATATTGTATACACCACACCAATTACACAGCATTATACTCGTAGATATACACAACTATACGAACTGTTGGCAGGTTTGCGTCTTCCAATTAAATTGATCACGTTCTCCAAGCATGCAGTTCGATTGTGATTTAAAATATAATAGATGTTTGTGATAATAATAATAACGTTAAGCTTCGAGTTCTTGTCAAAATGCGCAAACGCCTGTACAGTCGACAACATATCAAAATTAAACGTGCTCAAACTTTACTGCATTATCGCACTTATTTCAATATGTAAGATGCCACTACATCTAGCATCGTAACCGCTGTCGTATGTACTTAACAATGATTCTAAAGAATCTAAAAGCACACAAAACATGACCCTCACGTACAAAGTTGCTTTCGGCTGATTACACCTTTGCTTTGTGATCTGCCCGTTTCAAGGAAAAGTCCCTCCGTTCGATAGAGGGTCGTCGACATACACTAAGAAGAATCCGTATCCCACTACGTCTAGACTTTAAACCTAGATAACCTGGACCTCTGGATTGGAGCTTGACGTCACATTGATGCGTAGATAATACTTACGTCGGTGTGTGAAATGTCGTCTGGTGATTGCAAATACGCATTCGTATTGACGATAGCACATTAAGGTAAACTGAAAGCATCTTTTGTAGTTGTATTAAGTGCTATTTTACAACAATTTATAGTCTGAAGGCTGTCATCTGAACATAACTTCTAGTAAATGAAGATATGAATAAAGTATTGACTAGTTATAACTGGTAAATAATATCATGCTTGCTTGTTAACTAGTTTTCATTAGTTGTTTAATAATTATTACTTTGCTTATGAATTGAAATTTGAAACACAAACTTAAACTCTATTTAAGATTTATATTAGATAAGCTTACTACCAATAATATTATATTATGTGGGATCACCTAAATCTTTTGCGATAGCAATGGTACTGCTTCGTATAGTTTGAAGCCCCATAGCGGTCAGCAGGCGTAATCAATGAGGCTGACATCTGGATTTAACTAAATCGTGCTTGAATTTGCTATAAACAAAATAAACGGACACATCAAGATACGTGTAGTAAACAAATAAAGGGTGGTGGCTTTTATTTTATGTAACGAATTTTGGAATGAACGTTTTTCACATTGAAACTCACTCTATCCCTTTTGATGTAAGTGGTAAGAGGCGGGATAATTTAATTAAGCCCTGGTCTGCCAGAATTTTATTACCTTGAAACTAAAAATAAATCTTCCCAGAACTAGGACACTCTCTAGAACTCTACCCATTTTTCCACTCGTAGCGTCAGGTGGAGGCGTCTTAGGTTATTTTCCCTTCAAGGCTATGGAGTAGTGTGAATGAGCGTTCGAACTTAATTTTCATTTCATGACTATGAATGGTTCGCCGAACAGAATGATTTAATGTCGATAGAATATTATCATGAAGTTTTGTTCAATAAATGTAAAATTCAAGCTGAAATTATTAGAAAAAACTTCATTCGATATGTGATTAAGAAAATGATCAAAAAAATAATGGTTTCCGATGCCCCCGATATAAATTCAGGAAAAATAGCTAAATTTTAGGTATTTTCATGACTGTGTATTTTGTGAATGTTTGGGCATTGATAGGTTTGAGGTTAAATGTAAAAACAAAAGAAAAATAACACTTTTCTATTTATTTTTCATCACATCTTACAAAGTAAGACAAGGAAAACAGTCGGAATTCATTACAATTATTACAATGGTAATAAAAAACATTGGAAGATTCTAGATAAATCTATATCAGTAGCATGAACTGTAATAATAGGTCTATAAATATGTTGATATCTATAGGTATTAGGTATATATGTATAATTTAATAACATGTTTGATTGATGATTATATTTTTAATCTTGTACATTTTTATTGCCTTTTGTATTATACAAACCACTGAAACATCAAAACAAATGAGAGAGTATGGCAGTCTAATAACCATGGTATCATGATTTTAATACAATATTATGGTTACCATACATATTTTATTTATTCTAAAAGAAAGTATACATGAAAATACTTCAAAAGTATAAAAATTAAATGAAACAAAGCATTTGTCTTAATATTAGTATTGCTACGTTATTCTGTACCTCTATTACGAAAAACTTTCGAGTTCGTTTCGTTTGCGTATTCAAAGTACCATCGAAAAATTTTGTATGAAAAATTAAACAGCGCCCCCTAGGGCGGCTATAATATAGGGGGCGCTGTTTAATTTTTCATACAAAATTTTTCGATGGCACTTTGAATACGCAACGAAACGAACTCGAAAGTTTTTCCTACTAGAGGTACTGGTGTCATATCGAGTTATCGTCCGGTCACCACTAAATCACAGATCACGTGATATTTATCACACAAGGTCCGTCTTCGGGATCACTTAACGTTTTCCGTACCTGAAAGATGAAAAAAGAAAATTAGATAAAATTAACACTTAGAAAACCCGGCTTATAGTGATTCATAACAAATGGTTGTGTATTATTGGTAAGCTTAGATTTACTTTTGCCTACTTAGGCTGAGTTGCACCACCTAACTTTGATGGTAAATAGGTATAACGATAACCGGTGCTTTTTATATGGAGTTTGACAGATTTTTGATGTTTGTCAAAGTCAAAGTAAGATGGTGCAACCCAGCCTTAGTGTACCTACTATAATCATTACAAGTCACAAGGAGAACAAACAAAATAATTGGGTTGGTCTCTAAAATCTAAAAAAAAGTTTAAACGTAAGTATTTTAAGTAACAGTTAATTTTGACTGCTCTACAATGTGCGAATTAACTTTTGTGTCATCAGTTCAGTATTTTTATCAGTATATTCAAGCAAGTTAGATGCATTTAGGCACGTTGAACTTTGTCGTGTGAGAATGTTAAGGTCGAATTGATATCAGCAATATTTCTGCGCTGTAGTTTAAATGCCAGACAGAATTAAATTGATTATTCAATGTAGACAAAAAATAAATAGATGTGGTAGAGACGACTAAAATTGATTTATCAATACACAATTGGACCTAGGTTTTTTCATAAACTAAAATACTCTAGCAGTCTCATGAGAGCGCGCTAACAATTGTTTCTATCATCATATCTCAAGTCTTTCGCTGTACAGGTGACAGAACATTCGCTGTACAGGTGACGGAACATTTGGTTGTGCTTGAAGGGTTAAACAGTTATAACGTTATTCCTTACCCGCTAGCACTAGCAGACGCTGACGCACTGGCACTAGCACTGCTGCTACCACCTCCATAATTGCCACCGCCACCGCAACCGCCTCCACAGCCGCCGCCGTGGCCCGGGTTGCCACCGCCTCCGTAGCCGCCGCCACCGCCGCCGCCGTAGCCGCCTCCATAGCCTCCACCGCCTAAGGATTATAAATCGTGAAAATTAAGAATAACAACGAGTTATGTACTGACTCATGTACACTAATGTAACGGTCAAATAAACAAACTAATTAGGTAAGAGAGAAGTTAAAAGTGCATTACAAAAAGTATCCGTTGTGCATTTATGATATTTATTTTTACACGGTAAAAAGAACACATTTCATGACGTTTAGGTACCTATTATTTATAGAACCGAATCCAATTGCCAATTATTATGTGTGGCATTTCATTTAACATGTTGAAAGAGTTTATAATCCTAAAAAAATTGCTTGTGTTTTACACGCGGCCTTATAACATGACAGAATATCACTTTTGTATTCATAAAACTGTTATACCTATTTGTTCTTCAATTTATATGTACGCTATTCTTACCGCCACCACCGCCGCCGCCGCCACCGCCGCCCCCGTAGCCACCTCCATAGCCACCACCGTAGCCACCTCCGAAGCCGCCACCGAATCCTCCGCCATTCCCGTAGCCACCTCCTTGTTGGTAGTTGCCGCCTCCGTGGCCGCCGTGGCTGTAACCTCCGTGGTGGCCATGACCTGTAATCAAAACAATATTGTAAACTCATGATGCTAGTAAAAAACAATAGGTTTTTCTTTAGCCTGTCATATTGTAATATCTACTTTAATGTCATTATCGTTTACTTGGGACGGACGTTGTTTATTAATAAGATTCTGCCTGAGGCCTCGCTCGCGTGATTATCAATCCAGAAATCTTCATCGTGCGTCCCGCGAATTTCTTGGAAGAGCATTAATATGGATTAATTTTCATATGTTAGGGTTAGGTTCTCATGCAAACTTGTATAAAATACCCGTAGGTATTTCACATCTAGATTTTTTGCAAGAAAAAGTACCGAGCTTATGAAATTATCACAGTTTACTTAAAATCTTATCTTCACAACAACAAAATAAGTTCACTTTACGAACGGTATTAATACGGTCTTTTGCATTCATTACATTAGTGTAGCTAAATAAGTGTTTACTTATTTTATCCGTTATGTACAAACGGAACACTAGAGTACACAATGCCTTCTAATACAGCTAACGGTATGCAAAGCGCAAAATAAAATCTTACCGCCTATTTCTTTCACAATGATAACTTTAGTGGATCCTCCACCATAGCCACCATCGTGTCCTCCATAGCCTTGATGGCCGCCCCCGTAGCCACCGCCATAGCCACCGCCACCGCCGCCACCGCCACCGTAGCCACCGCCACTATAGCCACCCCCGCCGAAACCGATACCAAAGCTCCCACCTCCGAGACCGAGGAACTTCTTCGCCAAGAGATGCCGCTTCTGCCTGTTCTGTTGACCGGGGTTTGCTCTCTCCTGGTCTTCTAGTTTCTGTAGATAGCAAAAGTTAGTAATTTATTTGCAGTGTCCAGCAATATTTTTATTTTAATGTGAAATTCGCGATTTAGAAAATTACTGTAAAATAAAATGATTTAATTAATTGAAACTTTGCTGAAAAGTATGAGCTTTTTCATAATTTGGCAGTTTATATATTTTCCTTCAGCTTAGAATCTAACGGGGACATGTAATAGCGCAATGTTAATTTTACGTTTACGATGTAATAAAACTGTTACCTTAAACCTTTTTAACGTTTGGTTCGATATCAAATGTTTCACACATTTGCAATAAGCCTTAAAATTATTATTTTATAAATTTTGGATGAAGTTATATTCCTTATCATCACAATATTATGTTTCAACTAGATAGGATTATAATTACTCAAATCGAGACGAGTAATTTTGCCGGCGAGTGCGTGTGTTTCGCAAACTCGTTTCAGTAAACGCGTGAAGTTCAAGTTCGCTAAGCATTACAAACTATTGAACTCACTTGTACATAAATAGGTTGAGGGTTGGTTTCCAACGACTTGGCCTGGTCAGCGCGGGCTGGTTCGGCTCCTTGCTGTTTCAGTAACACTAGGATAGGGAACTGCCGAGCACGATCCGTTGAATGCTGTCTAGAGTCCCGAGGGGGCGCTAGCACGGGGGCCACTAAGACCACTCGATCTCCACCATCCAGGTTATTGTCACCAATCGTGGCCCACGCCGCGCTCACCAGCGCTAACACGCTCACCACCACTCCACTGGGTCCCATTGTGATCACTGGCACAGGACTCACAAAGCAAACCTATTTATACGAGTTTTTCCTGCAGACGCGACGTCATGACCGCCCAAGTATTGCGACTCGACGCTCGCAGGACACAGCTTCGTAGAACGCGCTTCTCACAATGACGTCATCGGATTGACCGTAGATTTATGATCAGCATCGAACAATTAAGGCCTATGCCATTGTTTGTGGAAATACGAAATATACTTAGATACATCTGTCGATGCGAAACGTGATATTGTACGCCTTCGCGTAATTTACTTAGTCCGAGCACGTATGATATCTATCTGGTTATTCCCTTAAACCGGATGCGGCGTGTTTTTGTATGAAATAACAACACACGAGTATTATTTTTGCTGGCGAAATTACGATGATAGTTTTATTTGTAAACACAAGCACGAGATGCTTTCGGTCGCGATGCTCCTTTTAGAACCTGTTCCCGGGGCAGCGATGTTACCAGGGTGGTGTTTTGTTTATTTTTTTGTTTGCTGATGTAAATATCGCAAATAGGATAAGTAGATGGTATCTGGAATGGATTTAAGAAACATTTTTAGTGCTTTGAACAATTGCTTGTATCAGGTTTGTGACATGAAAATAAAAGTAAAAGGTTTACGTTTGTTTCAAAATGATTTTTTATTTTTGCCTTTCCCTATGCTAGTGGTTAGAGTTAAACTTTCTCGACCTGGGGGTTGTTGATTCCACCCTATTCGTCTGGTAGAGCCATGACAGGTACGTGACCTCAGATAATGTAAATTGGGTTAGCAGTCGTATTAAATATAACAACATACTTCTATTCGCATTGTTTATAATAAAATAGCTGTTCCAGCTCATAACTCAGACAACATCGAACCTAATTAACCGCTTTGACATCTCATGCAACATGTAATTAAGCAATTTTCTTTACAAGAAGTATTTTGTCTGATTTGTGTCTAGTTCAACTGCAACAATGTAGTACCTAGTTAGTTCTTTACTACTTTTTCTTCGAAAATTGTATTCACTATACTTACGTGTATTCAGCTTGAATGGTTTTTATTCGAAGTAGGTAATTATAATTTTATAGGCTACCTGACTTGACAAGTAAATGAGCTAGTAAAAACCTGAAAAAAATAATTCATTGTCACGATTCTCAGGATCTATTTAAGATGTAGTCCGGAGTGAACTCTACATTGTTGAGGTATCATTTTACTCCAGGACGCTAAGAAATCTAATTATTCTGTGATTCATCATCATTATCATTTCAGCCATAGGACGTTCACTGCTGAACATAGGCGTCACAATGGCCGGTTGGTGGCGGCGTGCATTCTGTGATTGATACTTTAATAAAAATATGGGACACCAACCTACTATACTTTTGTGTGCCTTGAAATAATGAGACGTCCTTCTTGACTGATTTAATTTGATCATCATGATCTCACCTGAGGAAGTAGAGTTTTTCAAGTGAAAAATTATAATGAGCATAATAAATGAAACACTGTTTTTAAACGGTTTTATTTATTCACAAATAATATAAAGGTAAGTTCGCATTAGACTTGGATATAAGGGTCGGTGAGAACTCCACGATTGTATTGATCTGTAAAGCAAGAAAATAAAATAATTTATTATTGATGTTGATTCTGCAAGTCTCGAGAGTAGTTAATAAATGAAATAGTGTAGTGTTTAATTAATAAACTAACATATATAATTATATCTGTCGCGATTTACTTTATTATAAAGGTTTCTTAATGAAAATATATTTTCACATGTATTTTGCGTATTACAGATCATTTTCCTCAAAATACATGTGTACCGTTAACCGCTATAGATAGCGGTTTACCATTCAGCTAGTATATTGATTGTCTCTCTTTGGCTTTGGTTGCTACTCAAAAATTATTTAAAATGTGATTTTTGGCCAATAAATATAGAATTGAAAAACGCATCTCACCTGGCTTAACAACGACAACAGTTTGCCCTCGATTCGAACTGCTACCATAGGTACCATACCCGTAAGATTGCCTAGTACCTGATAAAAGTTAAAAAACATATTTATANAATTATTTCCGATTTAAAAGCTAATTCTACTGGACTATTAGGACGCTTAGAGTTTTAATTATTCTGTGATTCATCATCATCATCATTTCAGCCATAGGACGTCCACTGCTGAACATAGGCCTCCTACAATGATTTCCACAATGGCCGGTTGGTGGCGGCCTGCATTCTGTGATTGATACTTTAACAAAAATATGGGACAACAACCTACTATACTTTTTTCTGTTCACTAGCATATACAGTCTATCAAGATGCCTTGAAATAATAAGACGTCCTTCTAGATTTGACTGATTTAAATAATTTTATCATCATGATCTCACCTGAGGAAGTAGAGTTTTTCAAGTGAAAAATTATAATGAGCTTAATATTAAATGAAACACTGTTTTTAAAGGGTTTTATTTATTCACAAGTAATATAAAGCTAAGTTCGCATTAGACTTGGATATAAGGGTCGGTGAGAACTCCACGATTGTATTGATCTGTAAAGCAAGAAAATAAAATAATTTAATTATTGATGTTGATTCTGTAAGTCTCGAGAGTAGTTAATAAATAAAATAGTGTAGTGTTTTATTAATAAAACTAACGGCCGCCCGTGACTTCGTACGCGTGGATCCCGTTTTACCACCTTAGGGGTGGAGTTCCGTAAAATCCTTTCTAAGCGGATGCCTACATCACAACATCTACCTGCATGCCAAATTTTAGCCCGATCCGTCCAGTGGTTTGGGCTGTGCGTTGATAGATCACTATGTCAGTCAGTCGTCACCTTTCAGTTATACATATATATTTAGACAACATATAGAATTATATCGGTCGCGATATACTTTATCAAGGTTCCTTAATGAAAATTGGTTTACAGGAAATTTTCCGCAAAATACATGTGTACCGCTATAGATAGCGGTTTACTATTCAGCTAGTATATTGATTGTCTCTCTTTGGCTTTGGTTGCTACTCAAAAATGATTTAAAATGTGAATTAGCAAAAATTTAGAATTGAAAAATGCATCTCACCTGGCTTAACAACGACAACAGTTTGCCCTCGATTCGCACTGCTACCATAGGTACTATATCCGTAAGATTGCCTAGTACCTGATAAAAGTTAAAAAACATATACCTATTTATAAGTTAAAAAGCACTTGAAGATTTTGATAAAACTGTACGCTCTATTTCTACTTGGGCATCTAACTATCCATTTATCTAACCATCTAACTATTTTAATGAAGACCTCTCCTTGACAAGCGTAGGTAAAAATAATAGGACTTGGAAGGATATATGTATTTTGATGGGGAAATATTTTTCCAGTTAACCTAAAAGATGGGAATAAGGGTGACGGTCAGATATTAAGAACTAGTTACCTTGGTTAGGGACTACAATCACAGTTTGGTCTCGTTGTACTCCAGCTGACCTTATGTAGTCTAAAACAAAAAAAGTTATTAAGATGGTATTTGTTTACGTCATGTGGTTTGTACTTTGTACTTTAAATTGTGGTTTAATACGTTAGCAAGAAAGTCTTTTTATTGTAAAGCATCTTCTGTTTGGATTGTCACAGTTCTTGTTCAAACTTTTTTTAAAGGTAAATAAATAATTTTTGCTAGAGCTTCCATAGGAAGTTACGATGGGTATCTAATTGGTTTCTTGTTGGTTTATTATAAGTTCAATTCAAAATAAAGAAATACAGAGGGCAATAGACCATACCATTTTCAGTAAGTACACACGACAGCACATCAGGTTACCCATTTTTGTTGCAAACTCGCCCCTATTAAAACTGCACAAGAACCCACAGTGGTTACGTTGACGTGCCGTCGTCCGTACATCAAAATAGAAAAGTTACCTTACCTATGTTCCTGGTTACACGAGCAGGACCGAATCCCTCTACTTCTTCGTAAACCTTTACAAGGAAAATAATATTTATATGAAAATAAATTTGACGAAATATATTTTAATTACCATATTAAGGTAAAGTTAACATCATTAAATAAAAAATAAAAAATACCTGAATATTTATAGGTGGAAGTTTTCCATCACCAGCAATATAAAAGCACTCTACATAGTACACCAATGTTAAAGCAAGGAAAAATCTGATTTTCAGTGGCATTGTTATAATATGTAATGTCTTGAGGCTGAATGTGAATCTGTGTAAATTCAGGATGCGACACAGTTTATATATTGTCTTTAGTGTCAAGTTGATTTTATCTGAAGGAAATTGTCTTTCATAATTTCAAAATTGCTGCCTTTATGTGATACCTGTGTTACATAAGCCAATTTGGTCATGTGGGTACAGTACTTGTCACAAAGTAGTTGTTTATTGTAGAATTTATTGACGTAGGTACAGGGTACAATTGACGTAGTTGATACCTGAGTCAAAAGTAATTAAAAAAATGCTAACCCTTTATCTGCAAACATAGATTTTTATTATTTCTTGATTTACTCAACAACAAATAACATCATCAACATTGTAGTTAGATATTATATTAGTAGATATTTTGCTAGTGGACTGTACCTATCTATGTCAGTTAACGTCGTGGTTTTTCTCTACGTCAGTAATAAGTTACCAGTTTAGTGAAGAATTTGTTACAAGGCATTTATTTATATTTATGACTTAAAAAAACGTTTGAGCATATTAATTTATTTAGTAAATTTAAACTAATTATTTCGAAGAACTCTTAGCTTGGAAAATCTTCTGCGTCTTCTATAGGTAAATTTTTGGTCTTCTAGCTTCTGCAAAAAACAAGCGCAAATTATTCAACACGCCGAATAATTAATTACTTAATCAAACGTTTTAAAAATTGTTTATTTAAAAAAGACTCAACGAACATGAAATATCTGCCGACTATAGAAATTCTCTACTAATTTAATTTACCAACTAAAACTGTTACTCACCAGTACATAAATAGGCATATTATTATGTTCTTCTTCCACTTCTGGTACCTTCGCTTCACTATTATTCGTGGCCAACACCATCAGCACTGGAAAATCCTTGGCAGTTTCGGTGACCCTCGCTCTGGAGGACTTCGGAGGGGCTAAGACTGGTGCGACCAGAACTACATGGTCTTCAGGAGTTACTTCAGCCCCCACAACACAAATTATACAAACAACAGCCAAAACCTTCACTTTAGCAGCAATTATCATCGTGTCTGAAGTGGAATGAGTATGGAAATAAGCCAGGAGCTTTATTTATACCGGAGATCCTCAATAACATCACGATTTTGTAAATGATGGACACATTTAAAGTTCCTTTTGTTTCGATCACGACAACCAATCAAGCTTTGAAAAATGCTATCGAGTTTTTGTCCGCATCCAGGCACGAGCTGAATAAATTATAGTAATAACTATAGCATTTTTCTGTTTATTAACGCAATTATTTAACTGATTGTTTATTTTTAAGGTGACTTTGGGACATCCTGATATACGGAGTTAAGGCATTGAACTCCAAACTTGATTCAAACATTTAGATTGATGTGATTTTTCGAAGTAGTGAAATTCCTGTCATAGGCCTGCGTTGATTCGAACTTGAATATCATTTTATGATTCGGCCTTGGGTTGCAAATCTATCTATTAATAGGTACATTTGAGGAGCAATACTCGTGTTTATTTTGACAAAATCCAATAAAGTTCATTCTAATGAGCTTTAAATGATCTAATAAAAAGTTTCGAGTGATTTGGTTGAGTTGATGTAGATACGGGTGGTAATAATGTGAACTAGCAAATAACTGTTTTTACTACATATGATGTTAATGCTGTTAGATTAATAGTGTAATAAACACTGTTTAATAACAACACAAGTGATTTGATAATAATTGAGTCTTTGTGAAGAACAAGTCACGATTATACCATCGCGGATATTTATCAATATATTTATTATTACCGTGAGATATAAATTAAAATTCAATTAGTTATTAATACCGAAAAGCGTAAAAAATATTTTTAGATGAATATTAATTTGTAGAAACAAGTAGGTAAGTAATTAATTAATACCTAGTTTCTCTTAAAAGCAGTTCGTTCTTTTCAGCCAAATGACGTCCACTGCTGAACAAAGGACAAGTTATACTCATTTGAACAAAATAATTACAAATATATGAAATAATAAGCTCATCCTTAGTAATTATAATTTAATATCAAAATACATAAAAATACACAAGAAACAATACCAGTTTTACCCACTTGCTTTATCACGCATCATATTATTTCTACCTACTTACCTAATCAATCATCCAAATAATATAAAATGAAGCAATCGCTTGTTTGTTGGTTTCAGCCTCCTATTAAAGGACCAATTTACATAATGGTGGAAAAATATTATGAATAACTTAACAAGTGAAGTATTTAACAAGTTTACACGATGTTGATGTAAACAAGTTATTATGTTGGGAAAATTTACAATCGCTCTACAAAAAATAAAGAATTTTATTTGTAGAAAAACGTTACCATCGTGTTCTCAAACATTATAGTTATAAATCTAGCCAAAGTTAGTATTTTTGTACGTAGGTGTGGTTGTGACAACGGAGGTTACAATCTTAAATATAGCTACTTCGGACACGGCTCTATCGCATCTAGTTGAGCACATTCTTGTCGTACTACTTATGTTTGGAAAACTCGAAAAATTGTAACTACTTAGTTACAATCTGAAAATAAACACAAATTTTTCTTCAGATTGGGAATCGAACCCAGAATCCGAGAAGGTTCTTACTCGAACTACATGTGGCCTAGATTGAGGTCTTTTTTCTGAATAAAAAATTAACATATTGTGATCCCTCTTACGCTTAAGGATCTAGTGACCAGTCAAGTAAAAATAGCCTGGAAAATGACGCAACCGGTACATTGCTCTTTCAAGATTATAAAGATCAGCTGGTATCGTTTCCTGGAAGAGATACAATAAAAAGATTTTTCGTTGGATGATAGTTTCATCTGGTTGTTAACAAGTAGGGGAGACTGAGTACGGTTGAAATAACAGGGTACGGTAGTAACAACTAGAATGTTATCAAACAATGCTCGGTAGGTGAGAGGTACAAGGAGAAGCATACGGGCGACTGTCCATACTACCTTATTTGTCTTATCGCCTGTACCCCTTTGTTCCCCTCACCTGCCGAGCAACAATCGAGTTGTTACAACCGTACCCTGTTACAACCGTACTCAGTCTCCCCTATGAAAGTAGGCAGACTATATCGATTTGGTATCGACCAATTTGTCATAAAAATTAGAAGCTAACCAAACTATCGGTCGATAAAAAGTCTGTTTAGTCTGTGAGGACTCTTACTCTTAGGCCCGGTTTTTTTATTAGTAGTTAAAAACCAATAGTCAAATTTGACAGATGTCAAATGACAAGTGGTTAAGTATCAGAAAAAAATGTTCTTCGAACAATGGTTATAGTTCCAAAATACTGGACTGTCCTGTCGATGACATTGACAGTGGGGCGCCACGGCGCCACCGTCAATACCGGATCGCTGGTTCAGATTTTTGCCATGTTGGAAACCATATAGTTGAACGATGGTAGCGCCCCCCTGTCATTGAGTTTGGTGGGACAGTTCAGCGTGGGTCATCTATACCTTGACTTTTAGTACATTTTTTAACTATTAGTTAACATTTTGTTAATATTTAACCATTAGTAACAAAATTTAACGATTTGTTATTTTAACTATGAATCAAAAAACTGGGCCTTAGTTACTTACTTAGTATTCATACAAGAAAGTGGAGCACCGTTAGAGTATGCTGTATTTATTTTGTAACCTGCGGCTTCACTCTTGTGGATTTCGGTATCCTACAGAGAGTCTTTATCACTTATCACGCGATCATAACTCGGTCATATTTTTTAACAAAATTAATTAGGATCCTTTTATTGAGAAATGATTAATTTCCATACAATACCTTTATGATTCATAATTAGTTAAGTTAGTTTTGCAGGGCAATCGAATACCGCACTTAGCCTCATGATTGGGCCATTGTGCGCGATTTGTGGTTTATCTTCCTACCCCAACCACCCCAGTGTGCCTACCATGAGTTTACGTTAGGTGTGCTCGCTAGCGACTGCGTAAAAAAATGACATTTAAATGTATGACATATTGTGCAGCGCCCCTAGCGGCTACTTTCAAGAAATAAAATCTTCATAGAATTTTTTGACGTATTCGCTAGCGAGCTCACACAGATCCCCCTAGAAGGCAAGCAGCCCGTCTAGGCTGCTATAGGCCTCCTGCAGCGAGGATGGTGATCGGAGAAATTGAGCCCGTTGTTCTGCTACGCTGCTGCACTCCATGACCACATGCTGCGGTGTTTCTTCTGCCTCCATGCATCCCCTGCACAGTGGGCTGTCTGTAACACCTATGTTGTGTAGGTGCTTTTTTAACATACAATGTCCGGTTATAACATTCAAGACCTTGCGGATGCTGTCCCTGTTTAGTTTGATGAGGCTGCTGCTTTATGATTCTTATTAGCAGTCTTTGTCCTTCTACTAGATCTTAGTTTAAATAGTGGTGGTAGTGATACTAGTCATTATTAATTGCTCATTGTCTTACTTTATTAAAATTACCTAATCTAAATTGGTTCAGCATTTTAAGGCTTCAAAACATTACAAGTTCTTACTTACTTACAAATCCTACCTACACAGAGTTATACTTACGTATTTTTAAATAATTACAAATGTCTGCATTCTATAGTACAAATAATCCTGCTTCACAGTTTAAAATAAGTACTTATGTGTTGATCGTTACAAAAAAACATTTACAATGTGGTCATAACAGTTTATTTTTGAATATTAGAGGCATATATTTATGTCAGTATCGTTTATTAAATGTTGATTCATCAGGCTTCGACTGGGAAATCAGGTTTTTTCTCTGGTCCAACGGCCTTGTTGTTGCTTTTCTGTAACAAACAGTATCTTCATTACAATGTAATCGTATGACGTTAATAGTAATTAACCTAAAGACATACGCCCGTATTCACAAACATTACTATGAGATCTCACAGGGCCCGTGAACGCACAGGGTGACACATGAACCAATCACGGAACTCTAGCTCTATTCAACGCTGTGCGTTCGATTTGCTGCTTCACTTGAGCAAGCATCGTATGTTAATACGGGCGTTAGACATAGTTCGAGTATAGACTCTACTTTATATTAACATACCGATTGCTTTTCTTTAATTAAGCTGAAGCTCATCCTGTTCTGGTCATATCTAATATTAGAAACTTCAAGAATGGAATTTTTATTTGTATGTCCAATCGGTATGAAGTAAAGGATTTTCCTGTCATTAATTGTTCTACACCATAACATACCTCTAAGAAACAGTGACGTTATCTCATCTCATACATGTTATTTTTTATTAGTAATAAAAAATGCATGTAATTAATTTGCTGTGGGTTTATAAAGCGGATTCTTTAATTATCATATAGTTGTAAAAACTAATGTTACGTCTTGCTTTTTTATATATTTTTTTTTATTTTAATAAATTTTATATTACTTACCGTGACATACAATTTCGTCGGCTCTGTGTCGTCTAAAGACACATCTTCAGGAACAAAATAAATTCCATCAGGTAGGCTTGCAGGGTCCGCATCCTCGACCTTCGTCAGATCCAAAGAACCTCCCTTGGGCGGTATACCTCGTATCAGATCGAAGAGATCAGCACCCGTGGCTTTATAAACTACCTGTTCTTTACCAAAAGTGGCACAAACAAGCACTAATAACACAAAAACGCACTTCATTTTGTATTCAGTTTCACTCTATAGAGGATACAAGTGAACTACTTTTTGCAAAGCCCGTCCATCAGTTTATATAAGACAGTCTGTTTTATCTTATTATTAAAAACGATAATGGACTCATCGTTAGGTAATTAAATACTAATTTATAATCGTAACTTGATGTTCGGTTCTTCTTTCATGTTATGATTTATTGATGTGAATTAGCTTAAAGAATAAAATCGCTTAATGTGTTTTTGTAGCTAATATTACTCACCTACTCGTATTGATCAAAGATTGTTCAAGTAATTTACGTACCAAGCTAATAATGCATTATGTTGTGAAATTCTTTAAGCCGCTAGACTACCAGCTGTTATTAAGTTCTCAATTGAAGTGTCGTGAATCCTGCGACTACGGCGATAGAAAGGTTTCATTTTTCTTCACCAATCAATACTCATTTCACGATTATCGTTCGTTTCAGACAAATGGAAAAAGGCCTTCCTAAAGGATTTGTAGAACGATCGGTTCTGCGCTGCCCGTATCCAGGTTTTCCCGCGACCTTCACGAGATCGTCGGTCCACTTAGTGAGGGGCCTGCCCACACTACGTCTTCACTTTTATACTACATGTTAGATAGAGATTGAACCAAGTGATTTCATAACATTTTTGATCAATAGACAACGAAAACAATACACATGGGCAGTGTACAAAGTCGCATGGGAAATACTACTCATTATAGACAGCTCATTACATTTTTTGCGTGGTATTATTACCGGAATCATATTTTCCACTCAAAACTAGTGCCCCCTACGTATTAGAGAGTAATTATTACTTATGTGGTTATATCAACAACCTACGTTCTGGTCCTTAGTCACAGGGGATTCCTGCAATACCATTGGATCATAACAAAGATGATGACCAGGTAATTGTACAGTTATCAATGGATTCAGTAACGACATGTAATTTAATCAACAGGTCGTTATAACAAAGGTGATTAGGTCTCGGATGAAAGATGTACTAATTGCAACAATTGCGTAATAATCCATTGTTTTATGTCATATTTTTGAAACTAGGTATATTAGGTGAGTTTAATATTTTAGAAGATTGAACAAATCTTTGCACAGAAGTGGTATTTATATAAGTTTCATAAAAATTGAGACGTTCAAAATTGAAATGTATGCTAACTCGTTGATGTCTAATGTACTAAAACATAAAAATAATTAAAAAACAATTAAAATTTAGTTCAAACAAGTGTATTTTACTATTGATTCATACTTATGTGTCTAACTAAAGGATAGCCATACGTGTATTATCATACGAGTAAGTAATTGTTGCACTAAGCTTCTAGTTGAAGTGTTTAAAGAAAGTTGTATTTTCTCCATTAACTATAATAATATGGTTGTTTATTTATACCCAAACGATAGTAGTAGAATATTGGACGAATAAAGTAGAATATTGGACGAATAATGTAGAATATGTGTACTTAAGTATCTACTAACAAAACTCGATTGTCAACTGTAGTATATACCTAATAAATAAATAAATAAATATTTAAAAGGCGTTTCTTCTCAATTAATAAAATTCTTCTAATAGCAAAACTTTTTTAGCAAATCCTAAAAAATAACCTGTTTAGTAAAATAATAATATACGTTTAACGTGAATAATGCCCATTTTCACCATCAATCCCTAATTTTTAAGTGACCCCTTTGAAAACAAAATTCCTGTTATGTGTTACCATAGGGGTCACTTAAAAATTAGGGATTGATGGTGAAAACGGGCATAAGACTGCTAAAAAGGTAGGTAATCTAAATCGATGTTGTTTGACGAAAAACAAACAAAATATTATTCTAGTACGTTCGTTCATGTTATAACTTATAATAAATGCAACGAAGCATGTAACCAATTTATGTAAGACTTTATCAGAATTAATTAGATTTGACAAAAAATGCTACAAAATCTGATATAAAATTACGACGTTTTTGTTAATCACAATAAGTAATATCTTTAGAAAGTACAATAATTGTAGCATGTCGTGTTCAATAGTAATTTGCTAACATAAATGTAATAAGAACAAGAAATTAATTGTTTGACACGATTTATTAGTTATTTGTAGTTATTATTATGTAGAGATCATGTATTGTTATCTTTTAGTCTATAGGAAATATGTGTTTGGGAGCATAGTTCTTATTTTTGCAGTTATAAATAATTGAGTTTAATTGAGTGTCAGAAAAAATATGTTTTTTGGAATGCCATATTCTCGTTTAGGTTAAAATAATTGTAACTAACTACTGTATCTACGACTACGTATTTGAACACGTCTTATTTATACCTTTTGAAAAATACTATTATTTTTACTGTAAAAAGGGGCATTGTTTCAACGTCTATCTCCATTTTTACAACCCAAGAAAAACCGGGTTGGACCTCTAGATTGCTATGAAAACGGATTTGATTAAGTGGTATGTTTTTATACAATTTTCTGATACATAATAAACTCTTTTTTGTATCAAATAGGCGGAGTAGTTACCTACTTACGGTTGCTAATGATATGATCCTCCCAAAATATCTCTACGGTACTTACAAAAACCCAGCTATTTAATATTCAAACCCACAGAGCGAAGAAAACTTTGATTTGTTCAAACAAAATAAATCTTTTGTCTTTCAAATAATGTTCACAATTGAATGAGGATGAACTTAAGTACCGGTCGTTTTAATTCAAGCCGTACTAACGTGTTATTTCTCAATTATAATTCTGCACTTGGACGTATTTTCCGATGTTCATGTCGTAGTATTATGACGAATCAGTTTAATTTCCATACATAATAAAAAATATGAGGAATCTCATTAATAAACATGGTACTTACTTCTTTATGGAAGATTTAATTCTATGAAAAGTATGATAAATAGACGAGGTATGTATGTTACATTGATTAGCAGGTATTCATTTATCTAACATTTTACAATAGGCTAGATGACAAAATTTCAATTATTTGTCTGTCAGACAGATAATTAGAAAATATTAGTCTCATATTTTTTATTTTCTTTCATAATTAAATAATAACAGTGCTACATCGAGTTGAAATGCCGCGATACGTCACGCTTGAATAGAATTTTTACTCAAAAGTGACGTCACGCGACATTTCAACTCAATATAATTACTGTAATTATTCGATTATGGAAAAAAATAAAAAATATGAGTCTAATATTTTCTAATTATCTGTCTGACGGACTAAATAGAATTTCGATTTCATTACCCATTCATCATCCCTATTCCATGGGGAAATTATATTTATTTTCCAAAAAATGTTGCGGTCTTCGTATTTGCTATGTAATATGGAAAATTAAAATGAAAATTAAATTGCGGAGCAATAAAAATTTCTTGTCACAATGTATCATTTTAGATGTCATTGGGTGATGAGAAAATTATTTACAAGATCGCCTTGTAAGTGGTATGGTATGGTAAGGCACAGGTGTTTTATAAATTATGTGTTGTTAGTTAACCTGCTTCTCTACAGTCGGGTAAAAAGAAAACGAGTATTTAAGTTTTTAGTTGTACTATATTTCATTTATAGTTTTGTACGCGATTGGCGGTTTATAACCGCCATAAAACCATTGATCTGCATATCTGGTTGTGTAATGCATTTGTGGAATTAATTATACGATGTTTCCAGTTGGAATAATGACGTAAGTGATTATAATTGCTATGACTGCTGATATGGGAACTTTTTTATGTGAATTTTAAAGTTGGAAATATAAGTTCGGTCTTGACGGTCTCTCTTTGAAACTGCGTATGCTTGGTTATGACGATCTCTCCCGTGGGATGTATAAGATATTTACTCGTATTTATGCCGATGGGCCTTCCTGTAACAAAGAATTTTGATTATGTATAAAAATATCACGTCATTTAGTCTCAAATGCATTAGCACAACTCTTTTATATCAGAGACAAGTGGAGGATTTGATTCGAATCTAGCAGAATAGAGAACCACCGCTACTCTTCCAATGGAAGTCGTAAAATTCGACTAAGGGACAGTCTCGATCATCAGTTCACCTCAACCCATCTTTAAATATGGGTAGATATGTACTTAAACTAAAGTAGCGCCTGAATAAGTTGGGCAAAACATTTAAAAAGGTTACTAACATAGAGATTAAATAATATAATACAATTTTTGGTTCACTATAAAATAATTAACAAATGAAAAATGATAATATTTTGTAAATGAACCTTCATGTTAGTAATAGCCTAAATTAAATCACAAATTTGACGGAAAACACGAACGAAGCAAAATGGGGTGAATAACTTGTGACATCAGTACCTCTAGCATGAACAACTTTCGTCTTCGAATCGTTTGCGTATTCGATAAAATTCGATACTCAATCTTCGAATTAAACGATAACGTGACAATTTTGATTCTCAAAATAAGTTTCTTGCAACCACATCTCATACTAAGTTCACTTTACGACACGTTCACGAGGGCGCTGTTGTAGTTTTCTTACTAAATCTTTTGATGGCGATTCGAGTACGCAAACGATTTGAATTCGAAAGTTTTTTGTGCTAGCCGTACTGTGAAGGTCAAGTTATGTTTTATAATTGGGATTAAATATAGTATTATTCTAAAATGCCATAATTTTTTGGTTGTGATGCTAATTTCTACTTTTCGAAGTCGAACATATTTCAGTCACTTATCTACAAATATAATGTACAGTTGACAGCACATCAAGCTATACATTTTCGTTGCAAAGTCGCCCGTATCGCAACTACGTAAGATACCACAGTGTTTACGTTGACGTGCTGTTGACCGTACCTACTCTATGAGATATAATTATAAGATTCTTTTAAAAAATGCTACGAGCTAGTTTGGTATAATGTATGGCTATCTATGATGAGATGTAACATTTTAAAACATCACTAATGTATTCTTATGATAATCGTTATGTTCATGATATGGTAAATTAATGCATTATGGTGTTTGATAAAAGTTTATATTCCCATTAAGCCCCATAAAAGCTTTTTAACGATGGTGTCCTTATAATCGTTGCCACTTGCGTGTCCAATGAGCGACTTTTTCTTTTTGAAACGCACGCATGGGCAGCTTTAAAAATGTAT